GAAGTTTGTCTTTTCTTTGTTAGCATGTGTGCTTGATAGTAAAAGGGGAGGACTTACTTGAAAAGGGGGAGTAGGGACTGTAGTTTGTTGTGGTCACTTGTAGAAGATATATTCTCCTATGTTAAGCTGTTAGTTAGTTGAGTATACAATAGTTAGGAGAGTGAGAGAAAGCGAGTGAGAAACATTTTATATTAGTGGTGTGCCAGTAATCTTCTCATGTATGTGATCTTAGAGTTTCGTTTTATAGCCTATCACTCAGCTAGTTTTCCAATTAGCTTATTGCTACAATCCCGGTTTATTCCCTGTTGCCTTTTCTACTTTTTCAAAAATGGTGTTGTTGGTTGTTAGTTAAATCTTTTTTCTATATGTAATAGAAATCCTTAAAGCTGCTGAAAATGGTGAGATGCTACTCACCATTCTTTTACCTCCTGTTTTCCTTCTCACTTCTCCTCTCTTCCTATTCTGCTTTTCCCTTTCTCTTTTCTCTTTCCCCCTTTCTCCTCCCTTTCTTCCTTCCCTGTAGTTTACTTGTTTAATATTTATATATTAATTATTTGTTTAGCTTTCAGGAGAGCACTTCAGTAGTATAGCAAAACTTGAAGAGTACATTATATAGCAGTATTGGAAATGGTGAGATGCTGCTTGGCATGCTCACACCTTTCACCACTCCTACTAACCCCACCCCCCTCATTCCCTTTCCTCCCCTCTCCTCCATTCACTTATTCCTCCCTCCCCTCTTTTATCCTAGAGATTTGCTTGATTGATTGTTTTTTGAAATAGCACTACTGCTGTATCACAGAAGAGTGTATGGCAGAGGATCATAGAAGATAGTATACTAGTATAGTAAAGTGCAGAAGATGGTACATGGTAGAGCATGGAAGTACATGGCAGTAAAGTGCAGGATTATATGGAGACTTGGAGAAAGCATAGCGGAAAGGCAAGAGTATGAGAAAGTATGGTGGAGAAGTACAAGAAAGTGTGGTAGAGGAGTATATGGCAGAAGAGCTTGCATTTGTCTTTTCTTTATTAGCTTTTCTGGTTTGCTTTTATATAGAAAACATACCTGTATGAGGGGGGAAGGTATGAGTTTGTCTTTCCTTTATCAGTTTGTGTTTGCATGAATAGGGGAAAAGGATAGGACTTACCTGAGGGAGGGAGGGGTGGAGACTATGGTTTGTCATTGTCACTCATGGTTGATATATTCTCTTATCCCTACTAGTTAGTTTAGTTAGTAGTTAGTTGTGAGTGTGAAAAGAGAGTTAGTTGAGTAAGATAGTATGCGAGAGTGTGAGTGTGGTGAGAGAGAAAAAAGTAAAGAGATTTTCCCTGCCTGTAAGTTATATGATACTTTTTTAGTCATCCCTTAGTATTTGTTATAGATTACAGCTAGTCACTCATTGGTTTAATGGCAGCCTAGCAATCTCCAAATTTATCAGGGAGGAAAGTATAGTAGAAGAGTGCATGAAAGAAAAGTGTGGTGTCATAGCCACCCAGCTATGGAGACGGAACACGCATGGGATTTTTGGTTGCATATATTGGTTGTATTTTTGTGGTTGCGCAGTTGGATCTCCTTTGTACAAGTGGCGGGGGTGTGTTGCCGCATAACAGAACATGGCGGAACTGGACGGAAGGATCGCAGCTGCGCGTGATGCCAAGGACTTTCTTTTGTATTAGTGATCATGGAGGATTTCTTTTATATATAAAGGGGTGTACCCCTTTATATTTTACTTTCTTTACGCAATCTGGTAATCTCCTTCGGACACCTGTACGTAGGAGTTACACTCTCTATCATCTGGCGTCCTCTTGAACTCCTGAACCCTGACCCTGAATCTCTGAACCCTGAACCTCGTACAACTCGCTTTAGTTGTACCCCCACACCTAGACCTCATCTCCAGAATCCTGCCTGTCCTGATCGTGGTGTGCCTTGGGCTACCCGACCCTTAGACCCTGCCTGTTACATGTGAGCAGAGAGAAGTGTATAGTTTGTTGGTTTGTCTTTTCCCTTGTTAGTTTTTTCTGGTTTGCTCAAAGCATAGAGGGAAGAAAAGAGATATAAGTTTGTTAGTTCTTTTATTTGTTTAGGAGTACACTTGAATTATTTTGGATGTAGATACTAGACTTTCTTGGAAAAGTGCTTCAACTATTGGAAATATGCAGGAATCTATAGAGACATGTCTGCTGGAAAGATAGTGGAGGGACTAGAAGGAAGGCACCAAGGGAAGAAATGGCCACAAGAAGGATTGGAGGTTCAGTAACCATAGATTGTCTTTTCTTTATTAGCTTTTCTAGTAGTTTTGTTTAAGGGAGAAATACCTAGATGATAGAAGTGAGGACTAGTAGTTATTATTTCTATCATTAATATATACTTCTGTTATTACTGTTAGTTAGACTGAATGCATGTGATGGTTTATAGGGAGAGAGTGTATATGAGTCTATTAAGAGAGAGAAGAGAAGATTTTTTTTTGACTACTATAAGTTGTGTGATCTTTTTACACTGGCATGAATAAGCTTGGCATTGTTTCATTTCACAGCCTGTTACTCACTTAGTTCTGATTGGCCCATTGCTATGAATCTCTATTCATTTGCTGTTTGCTTTACTATATGCTTTACTACTTGCTTTGCTGTTCTACAGTTCATTCAAAAATAGCCTAAGCAAATAGCAATTCACTACAAATACAGCCAATCCCCCGCCAAATCCCCTTCTTCCCTCTCTATGGAATTTGCATCAACGTTGCGGAGGGGCTCTAGGACTGTAACGGCAGCTAGAGCTCCTGCCCGCTGGGAGTGTCCCGGTTCCCACGGGCAGTATTTACTGTTGCTTCGGAGCACAGTAACACCCCAGCAGTGAGGGTGCCTGCCCGGAAGGATACTTTAGCATGGTTGGATATGATGGGTTTGGCTATCGTCCGTCCAACAGAGTTTGGATGGCCAGCGGACGGCTCGTGGGACCCCAGCGTAGTTGGCACCTTGACACGGTGCTGGGGCTTTGAAACTAAGATCAACCGTTATAGACTTGTAGAAGCATGTCTTTCTTGTATGGTACGTGCCATTCAAAATGTGCACCACACCAAAAAAAAAAAAGATGTTATCATACATGTGCCTATACATATTTGAATCCCATACCCTCTGTAATATATGATTTTGAGGTATGATAAGGGGTTTAAATGATCATACTTTCATAATAGAAAAACAATAGGATTATAATTGATATCACAGTACAACAGGAAGGTATCGCATCATAAAACCATTTACTACATGTCAAAATCTACACCCTACATAAGTCACAAACACAATCACTAAGCTTACAAACCATGGCTAATGTAACACATTTCTCCTCCTGCCACCAAAAATTTGAAATTTTCCAAAACCGAAGGGCTCCTCAACCAGTGATGTAAATGAAAAAGAAAATGAAAAAAAGCCTCCCGATTATTCTCCTTCATCTTCTTCTCCCCGCCCCCCCCCCGCTCCCAATGTTTCATTCAACTCCACCCCTTTTACTACTATTTCTTTGCCATATGCCCTGCGATCCCAGTTGGAAGACGGTCTTGGTCACTGCGGCCGTACCCAATTATACTCGCACGTATGGAAGCTAGTAGTTGCACAAACGCTAATGTTACTCGCAACGTTATACGATGCAGTACGGTTATTCGCAGCTGGTTCTCCAGATGTGTTTTTGCTGAGATATCACTACTACTTTTTTAAAAGCGGCATTCGGGGAGGGGGGGGGGGGGGTCGGATCGTGTTTGAGGAATTTTCCGGCAATTATGACAGGGTCAGATTTTCCTACAATCATCTGATATCACTCGGTTAGAACCTAGCAGGTCCCAGAGTCCCGCGTGCTGGGCAATATTGAAGGTGTCACAAACAAGGGATGCAGGGCGAGCAGGACTAACCGATCTAAAGCTTTAGCACTTGTAGAGAACAAAGGAAGGCATTGGTCGTTAGTTAGAGAAGGGAGGAGAAAGAGGAAGGATACGATACCTTCGGATAGACCCTTGAGCAAAAGGATGGGGGACTCAAGCATTCAGGACACCTCATCTCACCCACGATGACAGACGCTAGTGCTCAATCAAAAGCGTAAATAAACACGAATCCCAACATGTAGCGATGGTCACCCGTATGGTAATCCCTAATTATTAAATGCGGGGAGCAATACCCCGGACGAGACCAAAAGCAACGAATACTCTACTGTATCGTGGTGGCTTTTGCTACGCACTTATCCTATCTCATCTTACCCGCAACGAAACCTGGTTTCTCCCATGTATCTGGAAATTGCTGGTCAATGTTTATGATGCCTCCTCTCTTGAGGATGTATCTCCCTCCCACCCTATCGGGCATTCAATCTTTAACGCTATGATGCCCCTACTCCAATCCCAGCGAAGGGGGGGAAAACAGATCCACCTGTCGGGAGGATAAGTATTCGCTCCAATGGTGATATTGTGTGGAACGTCCAGCTAGCGCAGTGGCTGAGATGCCAAAGATCTGATTGATCCCTTTTGTGCACAATTAGTAGGAGTCCAGGAGTTCCTCCTATTCCCCGCCTCGGAACGGGATAATACTGGGCAATCCATCGTCCGGGGCAAAAACTAGCAGCTCCTTCCTTCCCCATGGGGAATCGGGGGACTGGGGGACTTAGCGTTCCTTAGTGAGGTTGTCCTGGTAAAGCAAAATCAGCATTGCTGAGAGATGATAGAAGAGCTCGACTCTGGACCGTACGCTGCACCTAGGGGTCTTTTCCTGCGATTGGCGGGGTGGCGGAAGGAAGGGAAAAAATGTCATCGTAAAACAAGAACAAGGATAAAAAATATATAAAAAAAGAAGTGTTCCACCCTCTCTGATTCCGGGAAGCAGCTACAAACCCCCAACGTTATCCATTTCTAGTATAAAAATGAGATAATTGGTCTGTGAGGGGTGGCCATGTAACACCTAACCACCCTCTCGTTCACCATTGATTGCCTTGTAGGCCATACCGTGCTTCACTATCTCGAAAAAGTCAGGAATGAGTATTTACTGCTAGCACGGTATGATAAAAGTGAAGATTGAGCTTTCTACCAGATCGTTGTCTTAGAATTTTATCACTCAAAACAGTGCCGGAGTGTTGGCGACATGTGAACCCTAGGGTGCCAAGAACAGTACACAACTCCCTTTCCGGTTATGTTGCAGCGCCCTGGATTGTCTTCACATCGCATTGCATAAGGTGAGGATGCATGATACCAGGGTAAATCCAATGTCTCTTCACGCCTTCCATCCCCCTGTCCCTTCCCCAGCGGTCCGCACATAAACCAGCACGCTAAAACTTGCAACTGCGACATATCCAAATCCCATCCCTCCGGGTACAAATTACACTGCAACCAAACCCCACAAAACCAAAATTCCAAATCACAACTTGCCCCCAATAACGAGCCCCCCATCCACAGTTATAGTAGCACCATTAACGTAGGCACCCGCCCTACTAGCCAAAAACAAACACGTGCCCGCAACGTCCTGTGGGGCCCCAATTCGATGCAGAGGAATGGCGCTTTCGATCACCGGCTTGAGCTTCTCAAGGGTTGCAGCCGTCACTTTTCTTCCATTAGTGCGGTGATTCCTAAAAAGGGGGAAAGGGTGGTTACTGCTGCTCCTGAAAAGTCCGCAGGCGATCGAATTTGATCTACAGAGCTTAATGTCAATTACTTTCCACAGGGGCGAATTGATAAACAGAGATGCAGCGCAGGGCATCATGGTAGGGCAGCAAACGTAATATTCCTCTTTCCAAGATGGTTCGCTAGTACCTCCGAGAGATGGTGTAGACCGGCTTTACTCGCCGAATATGCACTATCCACCCGCCCCCCGAATTAGGTTTGAAACTATTCCCTCCCCTCCCCTAACAATCAACACTCACAAAGTCTCGGAAGCCGACGCCCTAATGCCATCGACACTCCCAATATTTATGACCCTTGCGGGGTCCCCGATAGTCCCCCTCTCAGCACCTCCTCCTACCGCCGCAGCCTCTAACAACGGCGTGCATAGCTGTGTGATCGTAAACACCCGGTGCAAATTCAACGTCAGCACCTTGGCCCACGCCGCGTCCGAATATCTGTCATACGGCTCGCTCCAGATGGAACCTGAGTTGTTCACCAGCACGTGGAGTCCAGTTTCGCGCTTTTTGAGCTCCGCGACAAGGTTTTGACAGTCAGTGAGTTTATAGAAGTCTGCTGGGATGGTGTGGGCTGTTCCTGGCCCTGGGGTATGTTAGTCCAGGTTATGGGAGAAAAGGTGAGGGGAGGGGGGGGGGGGTAAACCCATTGCGGTTAATTCCGCTGCGGCAGATTCACAGGCCTTTGCATCACGACTGGAGATGTAGACTTTTGCGCCGTTCGCTACAAAGCCCTCGGAGATCATTCGGCCAACTCCTTTTGCCCCCCCGGTGACGAGAACGACCTTATCCTTTACTGAGAAGAGAGTTGAGATATCCATCGTGTGCTTTTCCTCCCCTTTTATATTAATTTACTGACAAGAGCTTCTGCTTCTGTCGAGGCACCAGTATTGTGTAGCGACTAGCTGAAGGGGGGGTAGAGGTCAATTGGTCAGTGTGAAGAGAAACGGGGAGGAAAGTTCGAAGATCTGGAGATGCGCCACCCTTTAGAGGAATTGTGAACCGTAGCGCATTACGTAGGACCGCGGCCATGGTTGCGGCTCCTGGAATTCCACAAGAACCGAGACCCGAGAAGCCCTAACCCGCCCCACCGCACTGTGCTCGTACTGTGCTCATATCATACTACAGCACTCAAGTACAACGGTGGCTATCAGGATTGGGGGAGAGCCTGGTACAACTGTTCCTACTGCATGGAAACTTTGTGAAAGTTAATAGAGGAATCATATTATTACTCTTTTGCCATTTGCCGCCTCACATATTTTATGCGATTTTTCCCTCTAGCCCAAGCATGACGAAGGATAAAAGCAAACTCATATAGACTACAACTCCAAACGCCGCATAATGACTTGGGAAGGGGTGCTGAGAACACGAGGGCCCCGAAGCCACGAAAATGGATGAGGTGAGAGCGTAGAAAAACAGGTATCAAAGGTGAAGAAAAGGGAAAGCGGGAAGAGTCTATCCCAGATGAGCGGGGGAATATTGGTGGATCCGTTTATCACATGAAACTGTACTTGTGAAGTTCGGCTCTCCATTTGGGTCCGTACTAGGAGCATATTAGCGGAGATCACATAGAGTGTTTCGATGGGAGTTTTTACTCTATGCATCGCCCATATTACGCCGAGAGATACTGATGCAAGTATGCCGAGTATTGTGAATAGCCAGCCACTCCCAATCGCATCTGTGATGGGCTCCGTAAGGGTGCCCCCAATACAGGCGAAGATATTTCTTACAACTATAACCAAATGTTAGCGATCCTCAAGATTTTATACTTCTAGAAAAGAAAAGTAGAAAAACTCACAATTATTGACCGCAACAGCGGAACTAGCTCGCCCGGGAACAAATTCTACAGTCCGTCAGCTAATACCCCACAACGCTGGATACAGGACAGGCATACCGGTCAACATGGTCATAGCCATTCCGAGCGCCAACATACTCCCAAATCCAAAGATGAGGGTAAAGGGCAAGGGGGCAGCCCAATGGTACCCCTGCTTCACAATCCAGCCATAGCATATCAACGTAGATGGAACCGTAATCGCCGCTATCCAAGCGTTGACTCCCATGCGATCTTCCGGCCGATACTCCAATGGAGTGCTTTCATCCCCCCCCGCAGCTGCCCGTCGCTTTGTTGCAGCTCGTCGCATTATACTGTCGGACCAGCGGCCACCGGCCACCGACGCGGTTATATAACCAAGTGAATTAGGGATGAAGAGTAGTCCAACAACGAGTGGGGAGTAGTAGTATGGGTCTCCAGAATAGGCGATTTGCAGTGAGATGTTCAACATGTACTATACCCGTTAGCCATTCCCGGAGAAATCAGACAAGGGAGAGATGAAGCAATACCAGGGTTGCAAAAGTCACACCAGCATATATCACAGTTAGCAATACTGGGGGGAAGCGTAAGTAGAGCAGACTTTTCAGAGGATCGACCAGGATAATCTTTGCAGTCTTGATCCAGTGTTTGCTCCTCTTTAAGGTTCTTCTAGAGACCCGGGAGGCAGTTAGCTGCAGTCCCGGAGGTTCCATAGTCCCATCTTCTGTGGACAATTCATCGTCGTTGAGGTCGGGTAGCTCCACGTGTCCATCCTTCGGTCTATCCTGGGTTCGCAACGTCTCTGGGAGGCAAAACAACATTCCCAATAACAGAACAAGCCCAAATATTGTCAAGAACCATTGTGTCCCCTTCCATCCGAACCCTTGAGTCAATATTCCTCCCAGAATCGGTCCCAGGAGAGGCCCACAGCTGGATGGTTTATTCAGTGCATTATCCCTAGACGCTGAACCGAGTACTTACAGAGGGCCTAAATAAAACCAACCCATAGCCTTCCCCCTTTCACTAACCTGCCAAATGTCTGCAACAGATCCTGCACCAACCGCCTGAACACTGCTTGCTGCTGCGCCAGAGGCGACACGGAACACAATCAGCATGCTGATGTTGGTCGAGATTGCACAGCATATTGTAAATACAGTGAAGAGGGAAAATGATGTTATGTACACCGTCCGCCTGCCCTTCCGTTCTGATATGGAAGACCACCAGAGAGGGAATATCGCCATTGATAGCATGTACAGGGAAACTGATAGGTTCGCTTTGACTTGGGTTGAGTGCAAGCTCGCAGATACCTCCGATAGCGCAGCTAAGCCAATAAATATTAGCAACAGTGTTTCCGTAGGCTACAGTTACGAACCCGAGTGTGAGTGGAGACGCGGACACGATAAAATCCGACACATCGGGCGCAATTCCAATCCCGGAAAGAGGAAAGAAACTTACGAATTAATATGGTGCTCGCCATCGGAGCAGTTGACCCAGCGGCCGCAACAAGGATGGTGATTAGATACTTGATAAGCATTCCATAATCCCTAGCGTCTTCGATCTCGGGCACTAGTGCTAGCTGCCCAAACATGCCCCTTCTCTTACTCCACGGGACAACACACGACCTATTGGTCACTACCCTGGCGGCAGGTGGAGGGTACCTCTCACGATCATTGTTGTGTATTGAAGCTGAAGAGTTAGAGGAACTGGGCGAAGAATTACTCTCTGTGACCACCTCGGCAATGGAGCTTCGTGTAGTCTTCGCTCCTTCCATGTTTATATCTGTACTGTAGATATATGTCCCCGGTCTAGCAATGCATCGGCGTCGGGTGATCGAGTGTGAAGTTGATACCAACAAAAAAAAAAGAGAAGTTAAAAAGAAGCAACGCAGAAGATAGAGCGCCCTATGTCCTTTACCTGGAACCCACATCTCGGGTCGGCCATGGCCCATATTTAAGGAGAATACTAGCAAAGAGCAAAAATTTGGCGGGAAAAAAGTCCCACTCTCGGGTACCTAGTAGAAGCTGTTAGACTGGACTTGGCCAACTGCACATATCGTCGCTGCCGTGTTTTCCAAATATGTGGGCCCTTCCCTGATCCTATGAATTGTGTGCCCGACATGGTGGCGAGATATGACACATTTAAAGCAGATTCATCCCATTCGAGTTCCTCAACTAAACATCGACGCTGGTAAGGCACCTTGGGAAGCGTATCGACCCAACAAATTGAGTATCCCCGTGCAGTATCCTCATTCCCGTTTTGGAAAATAAAGCTCCCTTGAAAGCCCAGTAGTGAACAAAAAAAGAGGAGCGGGAATCTCGGTTCAACTGCTACACGTGTAGCACGCAGCCTAGAGCGCATGTTAACCTCCGTTCCCTCCCAAACCCGCACGTCCCAAGTGACCAATCCTCGGCAGGGCGCTTCTCAATCCGTTGAGTTCATACGGTATAGTCGACCAGTGCTCACACAGGGTGAGGAAGACAAAAGACGAGACCGGCCCACTTCCTAGAGGGGGGGACGGTACCGGTAGCCGACTGCGGGGGGGTAGCATTGGTCAATGCATCACGAGAGGCATACGCTAGTACCGCACTGTAATACGGTACCAGGCGGGAACAAGTCGCGGTGAAGAACAGTTGCCGGATTGAAATCCTGCCGCTTTTGGTGCGCCACCACCAAAAAGCGCGACTCCGGCTAGGCGACAGGAGCGAATGCGCATCTACCGGTGCTCAGGCGGCCAAGTTGAAGTCAGCCTCTATCTAGACTTGAAGGAAAAGGCTCCCGTAAAATTCCGGAAACAAAACAAATGATCAGACTGTTCGAGTGGGTGTCCCCAGTGCCCCCCGGCCGCGCTGGTCCCCGGACTGGACGGGACGACGCGGACAAGGACTAGCGCCGTCCGACTGCCGTCGACTTGCCGTCGGGCTCCTCCAGTACAATCATTCTTTTATGGATACCATCTTACTCTATTTGGATCTTTTTTTATTTATTTATTTATTCGCTTGGCTTCTTGTAATTCACCTTTATTTTTAATTTAACCTGTTGCGGTACAGTACCGGCGGATGCCTGGCTGGGAGCATTGGTCTTCCCCGGACGACTAGAAGCACCGCATACAGTAAAAACTCGACAATTGAACCTCACGCTAAGACATCTAGAATTCCCTCTCTTGGATAGGGGACTGGGAACACAGAGAAAAACGATAGAGGGTTTACTTGATCCGACCCACTCGGGAGGTATCAGATTAAACCATGGGACAGTTAAAGCCAACACCCCCCCAACATGCTGACTCCAGCGCGCACCGCGTGGCCCGGACCTCTCGGGAATTCAAAACTCGGTATGATAGCCTTGATTCAGCAGTTTCCTAGGAACTTTTCTGACTTTGCCCTCGGTGGACGGAGGCTCGGTGAATATTTTTCCGTGATGCTGGTAACGGCTCCTACATCCGGAGAGTGTAACCCAAAACGCCACTCGAGATATTGCGGGCCTCACAGACGCCGCATGCATAGCTTCCCGGGGGAGAGAAGTTCGACCTCAGGAGCTCCTCCGCCGTCCCAGCCCTGAACTCAATACCGTAGCTCCCTTGAGCTGCGGTCCAGTCGATGGATCAACAATAGCAAATGGCGCGAGCAAGGGGTATTAGAGGCCGGCTGTCGGCTAACGCCGAGTGATGCTCTATGATAGATATCCGACCTTAGGACCAGTGCTTCCAGTCGTCCAGTCCCACTACTACCCCTGGTAGGATGCTCAAGCGCCAGCTCTTTTTTATGTTTATTTTTTTGTTTTTATTTCTTAACTTGTTTAGGTACTAGTATTTGTCCCATTGCGCAACTTTGCGTGTCCATAGTCGGCGGCCGTCCACCCCGTCCAGGACGGGGCCAAGGCAGTCCGTCCCGTCCAAGGACGAGACAGTCTCGTCCTTCGTCGTCCTCACCCCGTCTTGGACGGACGGGACGACTGGAAGCACTGCTTAGGACAGAAGCCTCCGGAATAAGATGGTCGCGTATCTCACGCGCTCTAAATTCCAGTGACCTTCCCTAGCCAACCAACTTACCCACATACAGGTATGATGAGACCGGTAAACCGCTCTTGTCAGAGGTTTTATGGTCCAGCAACCGTCGCTCGGACCGGCGCTAGCCGAGAAAACCTGTGCGGTTAAGACTCATTCAACAAAAGCGACTAACTTACCGCCGAACGGGCCGAACGGTACGGTATAAATTCCCACCGCTCCATACTAACGGAATTTGTAAGTAGTGGTGGGGTCCACCGTAGACTCTCCGCCTTAAAGGGAGATACGGTAATCCTGAATCCCAGCTGGTTTCGGTTCTGGAAGATTCCAGATAATTCCATTATGAGACCGATCGGTAGCATAGCAAAGATCCGTAAGAAAAAGGAAATATCATACTTCTCTCGGGATTTATAATACCAAAGTTTTTAGGGTTTGTGGATACCCACCGCGAGGTATCATAAGACATGCTTGGAAATGAGTGAATACGGTGATGATCGCTAAAGTATGATACGAGACGAGTAGTAGGACCCATGTGCGAACCACATCCAGCAAAAGCAAATCCGCCGAAACACTTTTTTCAGAGGCTTTTCGAATCACCTTCTGAACTTCTCTATGTTTACCGACTCTATCCTTATCTTCGAAATTGATTTCATATATTGCTTGCTGTGCTATCTGTTGGCAGTATGTACTGGTGGCTATCCTGATCTGTATAGGGTTGTGTAGTAGGGTTGGAGTGGACCAAGAGAGAAGGCTTTGTGTGTGTGTATATAGCCTCTATCTCTGGCATTGCTGGAGACAATTAAGTCTTTCCATCCATCATCTACATACAACAGGTTATGAGCCTCTGCACTTGACCTTGACAGGACCAGCGAAAAAGCCCATCCGATCAATGGCTGTCTGTACCGTTTGTGTTTCGGATCTTTTCTGTCCTTCTTGTCACTATTTTCGGTCTTTATTTTTCTATCCCTCTTGATCTTTCTACGTACTATTTCCAATGTCACAAATACTGGACTCACAGCAAACCTTATGTCCCACCTTTCCTCTTCTTGGAGATGACAACTTCGGTCCATGGCGGCAGCGAATGTCCGACCAATTGAAGGAGTTGGATCTGTGGTGGATCATATCTGGTCGTGAGGTGGCTCCTAATGGTGAGAGTGCTGATCCCAATGTTGTCCCTGCCCATGATAAGTGGCTTCGGAAATGTTTTCGAACTACAGCTAAGATATGAAATGCAATGGAACCGCACATCTGTGCACAATATGCATCTGATAACTACGATGAAAACCCAAAGGCCCTTTGGGATAAATTAACAGAAGGTTACAAACAAGCTTTGGGCTTAGAATTATACTACTTTCGGCGATCGCTTTTTGACTGTACCTTAGAGGCACATGGAACAGTAGCGAAGTATGTCCATAAAATTGACCGAATCATCGAATGCTTGCGAGAAGCTGATGAGGTCATCAATGCATGAGAGAGGACCTTCTATCTGCTTAATAGTTTACTAAGCTCGTGGCGGGAATGGCATGACCTACAAGCATCGGTAATCAAGCCTGAGGAGCCACAGGAGTTGATCGCTGCAATTAAGGCGCATGAGTCTAGTCTCAATCGTGCCTGAGAGGCATCAGGTGACACTGTCCTTGCAGTCCGCAATAAAGGCTACAAGCGTGATGGTAGCTCTGGAGGTGGCCGTGATCGAAGACCTGGAGTTGAGCAAAGCCTGGCTGGAGGCCAGAGAGGTAGCTCTGATGAAACTTTAACTTGTTATTATTGTCATAAGCGTGGGCATAAGCGGAATGAATGTCGCAAACTGAGAGCGGATCGACAAAAGGGAATTCAAACGGATAAGGAAAATGCAGCAATTCCCAGGCCGGCATCTCAGTCTTCCACCAACCCATTAACCCGCTCGATATTCACAGCGCTTTCCTCCTCACCATCACTTACTAGTAGCCAATGGCTATTCAATAGTGGATGCAGTACACATGTTACTGGTGTAAAGGAGTATTTTTCATGGTACGCGGTGATTCCTCCTGGGCAACACAAGATCAGAGTTGCAAACAATACCGAAATTGATGCAATCGGTGAAGGAGATGTCTCTCTCATGGTTTGGGATCAAACCGACAGGATGACGAAGAATCTTGTGATTTCAGGAGTTCTTCATGTGCCTGAGTGCGGAAAGAATAGTCTGCTGTCTGTTTCACAACTCCATGGCTGCAGGTTTGGTGTTAACTTTCATAAGAATGGGGGAGTGTAACGGACAGGGTCTGAGGGTCAGGTAGCCCAAGGCACACAGGGGATA